AAACCTTCACATTCATGCATAGCGCTATTCTAGGTGGTTAACAGCATACGGTAATAATAAAACTACTAGAAGAGAAATTAAAATCAACTCATGAGTCAAATGAAAATAAATACCGCTAATAGGAGAAGAGGCATACCGTATTCTCTGAATGCAAGACTGGGACAGGGGACTGTGGTGTTCACCCACGTGCCCCTTGCTTGAGCGTCAAGCCTCAGAGCACACGAAGGCAAACAATTCCCTCTTTTACACTGCTGCCACCAGGTGATCACTAAATCACCATTACTTCAGGAAGATTCAGATCCTCACTTCAAGGTCTTTTAAATAGAACTTTTGTTTATTGATTACAGAAATTGAAACTGATTCATGAATACCTTCTGTAGGTAAAGTTATTATTAACAACAACCTTCTATTTGATAATACACTCCTAATTCTAATCACATCTCAGAATTCCCCAAACTCCACACTCTTATCTCCTTCTCTCTCTCTCTCTCTCTCACTCTTACTCTCTCTGTGACTCTGACTGACTCTCAGGCTCCGCCTCTTATAAGATCTCGGCTCCGCCTCTCAGCAACATGAATATGCATGAACAATTACATAACAAAACATGAACCATTGACTTCATAAAGGGGAACGCTACAGACCTCCCCCTTAAATATGTTTGTTTGGGAGAGGAAACACATTTTTCCTCCTAAACAAACAGGCACAATTGTATAACTTATGTAAAATTTATCACAGTTCTATAGGTCACATCAAATTCAGTATAACAATTACCATTCCTATTACTCTAAACATTTTACTACTATTAGATAATATACTTTACCTTATCATTTACATGTAACCTTTTCAACTATACAGAAATCACAATCATGAAACTTTTACATAAATAATTAAACTGTGAATCGTAGTCCATTTCAGTTTATAATAAAAGTCCTGGCATCCTTCTTCACATTTCTCTCCATCAATTCAATTTTTCATCTTATTTACAAACAGAACATTTATAATACAATATCCCCTTGGGTTATCCACCCCCATCAGTCATTGGGCTTTCAAGGCACGATCTGATTCTCTTTTGCAAAGTCCAAGTTTGCAAAGTCCAAGACAGGCTCACTCCCTCAGTCATCTGCATGGCACCGCACCTCTCCAAGTCCATATCTCACAGCATTTGTAAAGAGGGTGAACTCATGGTTGTAGCCAGGTGCGCTGAAGACTGGTCCGGATGTTACCGCCTCCTTCAGCTGGACACATGACTGCTGGCACTCAGGGGTCCTCTGATGGTCACTGGCTCCTTCTTCCGCATTCTCTTCCGTTGACAGGAGATTATCAACCATTCGGTTGTCCACGGGATGTCGTCTGCTGGTTGTTTTATAATGAAGCTCTCTTTCTGGCTCGGGGCTTCACTATCACATTTGGGGAAAGGGCAGGCAGTTCCCTCTCCTCCTCCCAACCATCTCTGGATGTGTCCCAAGACATCAGAGTGGATGCCTTTCTCCTCATTCACACACTGTCCCACAGGTACTTCACTGAAATATTCTCCCTATGTGGAGGACCACTATCATGGGATTCTCAGATCTGTCAAGTGCAATTTCAAATGATTGGGTTGTTTTCGATGCACTGACCTTGTCATCTGATTCTGTTTCTTTATTCAGGGATATGTCAGGTAGGGGTTTGCTGTGCGAAGTTTTAAGGTCTGCTGGTTCCACCACTGCGAAAAGCAATTTTCTCCCCTCTATAGTTGTCAGTTCTACTACTTGGTCCTCAGGACAGAATACTCTTTCCTGGGTCTCATTCAAGCCTTTCTCTTTTCCAGGAGTACTTCCAAAGCTTGGCTCTGCCACTTCTAAGGCCTTTTTCCTATATAAAAGTTCCTTATCCAGGCAAGACTTTTCAGAGCATTCAGGAGATAATAAAATAGGTGTACTGGTTGCTGCTTCAAAGCAACTCACCAAACTGAATTCCTCCTCCTGCTCCTCAGCCAAACTAATTTTATTTGGGGTTTTCACAAGCATGAGATCAGTTTCTAAGAGACTTTCTCCCTCCCGGCTTCCTTTTGCTACTGTAACCATTTCCACTGCAGTGGGTGATTCCTGCCCCCCTTGTGAGCGTGCAAGTACAAAAGCACTCTTGACATGCTCTATTAAGTCCCAACCAAGTAGAAAAGCTGCTGGTATTTCATCTGAAACTGCCACCTGCCACTTTCCAGACCAATTCCCATAGTTTATCTAAACCTCTGCCACTTTCAGCATTACAGATTCTTTCCCAATTCCTTTTAAGGTCATAGTTCTGCCTGGAATTATGTCATCCTAGGCTATCAAATCAGAATGTACTATAGAAATTTGAGATCCTGTGTCCCTTATAGCAATGTACTGTATTTCATTCCTCCCACTAATATCTCTTCACCAGCGTTTTTGAGAAGGGTATTGTCATTTTTTATATAAAAACACTGGACTATAGGGGCTACAGGAATGTCTTCTTGCTCAGTTGCTGTGGTTGCCATGGAGACAGAACCTTGGCCACGGTTTCCCTCAGAGGCCTCCACAGTTCCCAAGCAGTATACTTTCTTGATCTGGCCATTATTCTCCACATTTTTAGGTTTGTTTTTTGTACAACTGAATTGTAAATGATCAGGCTCGCCGCATTTGCAACGCCAATAATTCCTTCTCTCATTCTGAGGAGATTTGGTAAACTTTTCCTCAGAGTTCATTTGGTTCCTTGAAAAGTTGTAGTATTTTAAGAAATGGCAAAACAAGACAAGGCTTGGGTGGGATGAATTAAATGCACTCTAAAGGGCCTCATGCCAAGTCCCCAAATGATCACCCTTAGTAGGTCAGGCCCCTTCACCCCACATTCATTTGGGTCTGAGAACTAGGCCATGCTACTCTTTTCATTTCTATTTGAAATTTCATTTGTTTTATCTCCAACTCCAATTTGTCTGGCCTCTTGCTCAGCTTTTCCTCTCCTTTCTAATTTCATGGGTCTTTCTTTGATTGCTACTTCTTTCAGTTTAAATTCCTGCTGTAATTTCCATTTTAGAAAATCTCGAAAGCTTAGGACACTTGGTCTTTCTGAGTTATTTTCCTCAGTCTCTAACTGTTCTCCTGGATTTAAAGGGTCTCCATTTTCCTCCATTTCCTGAGGTGCCAAACTTTGTGCCTCTTGAGACTCAGTTTCCACTATTACTGGTCTTTTAGTTCCTTTGGGAGGCATATTTATCTGAGTTACTTATTCTAGGGTGTTTTTATACTGATTTTATAATGGACCTGTCTTTCTTCTTTTACTTCCAGTCACTTAAATGATTTCTATTTCAAGCAAAGGCCTTTTCTTCTCCTCCCTCAGACCCGCTCTGACCCCTGGCTTCTGCTTTTTTACAAGTGCTCTCTAAACTCTTAGAGCCTTGAGCCTTAAGCTAGCCCACAGGGTCTTCAAATCATGAGGTAAAAATACAAGAATTTCAGAGTCATTCCCTAACTTAGACCCCCCCCCTCCCCGATCTGGGTTCAGAAGCCGCTAGAGGTTTTCCCAAAAGCTCTAGTGAGGACCTAAACTTCTTTGCCACAGACCTCTGTCTAAAAGGTACCCTTGACTCAAGAAAAATTGTTTTTAAAATCAGACTTGACTGGAGTTCTTCGAGTCCCAACTCAGGTTTCACTGGATTCCTTCGTATCCAAACTCAGGCTTCACTGGATTTCTTCGTATCCTGCTGCTGGACACCAATTGTGGTATTCACCCACGTGCCCCTTCCTTGACCGTCAAGCCTCAGAGCACACGAAGGCAAACAATCCCCTCTTTTACACTGCTGCCACTAGGTGATCACTAAATCACCATTACTTCAGGAAGATTCAGGTCCACACTTCAAGGTCTTTTATATAGAACTTTTGTTTATTGATTACAGAAATTGAAATTGATTCATGAATACCTTCTGTAGGTAAAGTTATTATTAACAACAACATTCTATTTGATAATACACTCCTAATTCTAATCACACCGCAGAATTCCCCAAACTCCACACTCTTATCTCCTTCTCTCTCACTCTCACTCTCTCTGTGGCTCTGACTAACTCTCAGGCTCTGCCTCTTTTAAGATCTCATCCTTCTCTCTCACTCTCACTCTCTCTGTGACTCTGACTAACTCTCAGGCTCCGCCTCTTTTAAGATCTCGCTCGGCTCCGCCTCTCAGGAACATGACTATGCATGAACAATTACATAACAAAACATGAACCATTGACTTCATAAAGGGGAATGATACAGAGATGTAAGGTCAGACTGGATTGCATAGAAAGGCCTCTCTGTAAGGAAGTCTTCACAAGCCTTTTGAATGTTGGGAGGAAGGGGGCTAGGTGCAGCTCCACCAGAAATTGGTTCCAAAGTGTACGTGCCATTGCGAAGAAGGCCCAGCCCCTTGTGGCTGATTTCTTGGCCTCCCTCGGAATGGCCACCTGCTGGAGCAAGGCCTGGGAGGATCTAGTGGGATGGGTAGTGTTTAAATAGCTGGCTCTGCAGCCAGATACCTCAACACACAACAGCATGCATTTGATTCCTGGTGGTTGATGTCCTATGAAATACTCCATTTGACATCTAAAATGGGAACAGTGTGGGTGGGAACCCCCTGAAGTGTTCAAATGTCTGATTGCGGTTTAACACCTGCTTACATAAATTTCACTTGTGAAATTATCTATTCAGTACTTGCATGATTGTGTTGCTGTTTGTTTTGATTGAAGCAAAATTTAATTGTAACCTCATCTAAGGCCATTGATATGGCATAAAGGGTGTGATGTTTGTATTTTACACCCAGTCAACGTATCCTTTGCAGATGTGTTCTTCACAGTCATCCAGAGGCTGGGGAGTTGTCCCACAAAAGGAACTTTTCCAAGTTCTTATTTTTGCTTTTTGGCCAAGGATCTTTCTTAGGTTTCATCACGCCAATACTAAACTCTGTACAACAGTATCCTTTCCAAGATAATGTGTAATGAATTGGTTCCAACTCCCCTTTTGCTTGTCTTACAGGGAAAGCACCAATGCCCAGACCAAATTACAAGTCTCCAGAACCTAATGGCTGTAGCTCCTATTTCTTGGGTCTAAAGGTACCAGAAAGTGTATGTACTGCTAACAACCAATTTCCTGATGAAGTAATTAACTAACCAAACTCTCCTGAGTGAAGGCTGAATAAATGCTTGGCTTTGCTGGTGATGTTGTGATTGCTTAGTTATTCATGTCCATTTGTTTGTCTAGAAAGGAGGAGCTTGCTGGTCAAAATTTGTCTGGATAGTCACTCAGCTCACATGTAAAGCTGTCTGCCTATCCATGCCAACGGTGATGGCTGGCTGCTCGTGGCAAGTAGACAGGTCTTGTGTCCTCTGACTGCTGCCCATATACGTAATTTACTTCATGACTGGCTAGCCACCAGAGCGTTTAGCTCCCAACTGTTGGTGGCTGCTGCAGTAATGAATACATCCTCTAGCTAGGAATTGTGCTTATCGATGTAGAAGATAAAATTCCAGTCATCTTAATAAGAGTTGAAAGGCAAATTGTACTGAAGGAGAAATAAGTTACAATAGAGAAGAATTCCTATGACACCTCTGGCATTTAGAAGGGCTTAGATCTTGGAAAAGTCGCTGGTTTGGAGTACAGTCCCAGAATCCCCTGACAAGTTGCAAGCTGAGGGATTCTGTCCAAAAAAAAGCAATGTTTCCAAAAACTAAACCAGGACTTCTGGACTAATTGGTGCCATAGACTGAAATGGTTTTTGCTCCTGGTATTTCAAAACCTATCAACAATACATAAACGCCATTGTCCTTAATGTTCCTACAATCCTGTTTCGTGTGAAATATGGGAGGCCAGCAGAAATTCCTTCTTGCATTGCCTTATGTTTAAGGGGCATTGCTTTATTTTTCTGATACAGGTAGTCCGTAAGATACACCCCAGATTTTCTTCAGTGGTGTTGGTGGAGCAGTAAATAGAAATTTTGGCATCGGTGGCAAATAGCATTGTCTCCTCTCCCTGATTCCATGCTAAAGTATGGGTTCAAGCCCCTGCCAAGCAGATGGAGGCACAGAATGTGGTGCCTCCAAAAAAAGACCTCAGAAAAGTTTTGCTTTGGAGTGTGTGTGTATGTGGGGGGAAAGAAAAGTGAATAGATCGGAGTTATATTGCCATCCGTGATCCTAATAATCACCACTAGAGTCACCTCTAGATTTCCCTAAATTTTAGCACTCAGGGACATAGCCCAGTTGTTCTCATCAAACCCACTTATCTACTTATAAAGGCTGTTGTTCCTTTATAAATGATCCAACAAAGGGAAAGTATTTATGTCCCACCAGAAGGTAGTACAGATTCCTTGTAAGAAAGCTGGGGTGGCTGTTTCCTTGATGCATTGATGCCCTCTGTAGCAGTGCAGAGAATGATGACTGATGGGCAATCACTTCTGTAACTACCATTAGTTTCTTGTATACCTATTGTAACAGCCATGGGCAGGCAAATGTCAAGAAATACTAATGGTTCCCAAGACTCAATGTGAAGGTGAGGTAGGTTTAGCTATTGTTTAGCTATTGTTTAATCTTGCTGCGCATATTGACCTTTCAACTGGACTAAGGTGAACTGTCAAAAAAAAAAAAAGGCAGCTTCACAATTTGCAGCTGATGCTTTTGCAATAAAATGTTCCAAATAACATCATTCAGAATTGAAACATGGAAGGAAATAATATTATGGTTCTGGATTCTTTCTTCCCGGTGCAGCTGGATTTTGGTATCCCAGCCATGACTAAGTGCTGCAACCAGCTGGATATCTGTTACGACACCTGTGGTGCCAACAAATACCGTTGCGACGCCAAGTTTCGCTGGTGTTTGCAGTCCATCTGCTCGGACCTTAAACGGAGCCTTGGCTTCGTCTCTAAGGTGGAAGGTGAGTTTTCTACTCAGGCAGACTTTACACAGATTGACTGGGAACATAGTAACACATGGGTCACTTCGTAAGCCTGGGAATGTTCTCTACAAGCCAGTTATTTATGGCTTGTAGTTATTTACCACAGAATGAACATTCTGTGGTAATGTGAGAAATATGAGCTAAATTGGCTACTGATTGCCAGATGATGCTAATTCAGGTGATATATTAACAAGAACTGGAAATATTGATAAAGGCACTTTCAGAACCCTGTCCCATATTTTGGACGTCCAAACATGTCCACAAATCCCATCATCCCTGACCATAATGGCTGCAGACAATTGGGAATTGGTCTTGGAGTCCAGCAGCATCCGGGGGGCCAAGATCCCTCATCCTTTTCTGGGGGTAAAAAGTTTCTGGAAAGCCTGCATTTCCACCCAGGGGAGTCAAAGCGGCACTCACCTCTTGAAAAATGCAGAGGGCCCTGTATAGTAAGATAAAGGGGTTCAATTTCTTTGAGGAGTCATATCATTTTTTAATAAAATCTGAAGGAGAGCATTTACTCCATATAAAGTTGTTTTCGAAGACTGCTGTTTCAGGCATAGCCCGGTGTTTCTCACCCACACATCATTTACTTCTCTCTGGTTCAAGCTACAGCAATTAGACAGTGAAGAGGGTCAGTAATTCATTTTCTGAGTGTAACAATGAAGATAAATGAGAAAGTTCACACTTCAGAGACGATGAAGCAGAATCACTGCAAATTCTGGAAAGACAGAATTCTCATCCTAGGTTTCCTGTTTCATTAGGAAGATAAAATCTGTGCAGCTTTAGTAGTTACAAATGTGTATAGCTTTAGTAGTTAAAGATGTACATCCTATAAGCCTCCACAACTCCTGTGGTCATGGCACTGACTATTGCTCATACAGAATTATTCTTCTTGCTACACCTCAAGAAGATCACTTTTGAGATTGCGAATGAGCTAACTGCAAAGGGTGGTGTCGGAAAAGTGTTACAGTTAATTTACACAATGTGGCCACAAGCCGCAGAATGCTTGTTCATCATTGATGCACTGAATATGACTTGGAACTCTGGTTTTTAATGTGTACCTCCTCCCTCCTCTAGTCCTTGCTACCTACCAAAGTCCCACACATACCACCCTTATTTCATGTAACATGGAAGCCTGTTGTTCTTCTTCGCGGTCTCTGTGAATACACACTATAGGGTTTAATCTGCTCTTATGCAGAGGTTTCCGGAATATTCTAGAGCTTTATCACTCGTTCGCTAGGACTGCCCCTCCCCAGTACACGTGGTCTGCCCATCCTGGTGAATGACTCACTTCCTTTTTGCCACCACTGACGTTTCAGCTCTCGGTTCACCACTGCTTTTGATTTCTTCCCATAACAAAAATAACAGAGAGAAAATTGTAAGAGACTTTTCGAGCTATTTCTCCCTCTTTGGATCACCTCCCTGCCATTTATGGCCCCTGTACAAACAGTGCACCTCGTGCTCCAACAAGATCCCACTCTCAGACAGACATGATCTTTGCCTGTTCTGCCTCGGGAAGTCTCACCAGCCATCTTCATGCCAGTTTTGCAAAAACTTTACTGAACAAGCTCTTAAGCTCAGACAACAATGTCTTAGATCCTTTCTTTGGGAGCATTCTTTATGCCCAACACAAACTATGGAGGCTTCCCAAACCTCTAAGCCCCACAACGGATCCCCTGAGATGTCCACTGCTTCTCTGACGACGAAGCCACCAAATTCTAAATCCAAATCTAAGTTCACTTCTAAATCTAAGTCTTCAGCATCGACTATCAAGTTGATACTACTACTGAGCCTTCCTTCGGTACGGGAACATTCCAAGCCTAAGAAGACCAAGAAATCTTCTTTGGATTCCCAGTCTACTAATAGATCTATGGCACCTGACAAAACTACTCCGACAATTCCTTTACAGGACCAACCATCTGCCTTGACTTTCCGGATGATGATTTTATACCACCACCTTCCGGTCAGCCACTGTGTCCATTCCTTGCCCAGTCTCCATCTTGGGCTAACACCTTGGCTGAGGTGACAGTTATCTCCCAATCAGCATATTTGAGCCCCAGATCCATGGGTTGCTCAGTCTGTGTGTGTGACTCAGAGTCAGTGTCTGCTTTACCTGACCCATCACCTCCACATAAGTGATCCAGGAAGACTCACCACACACCAGAGACTTGCCAATCCGATGCCGATCCTGCACAACCTCTGACTTCTACGGAGTTGTTGGCATCTCATGATTCTTTGACTCAATATTGTCACCTGAAACAAGTCACACTCTATGAACCACCAACTTATTATGAGCCTCTGCCCAAGCTCTATTGACATCGAGCATATCGATATTGGCAAGCTGGTACTGAACTTTACATCGAACCTAAACGCTCACGGTATGGATATTACTATCCATCTGATGTATCGGATTCACCATCTTCTCCTTGGTACCAGCTGAGGTCCCAGGACTACTACTAAACCTCATCTGAGGATAGCAATTTGCCTTTACCTACGGTACTGAAACCACATAGATCCTCTCACAAGAGGAATCATTTTCCTGAGCCTTTCATAGGACAACAATCGACGGTACCAAAGCAATCTCACTCATTGGTTAAAGCTCCAATTTCGTCTACTGAGCCCACTAAACTTTCACAGGTCTGTGCTTCTTCCTTACAAGTAACAACTACATATACCAGACCTCCACCTGCGCCTCTTGATATCGCTCAGCCTCGTCAAAAGAAACACTCTAAATCTCATCAGTCTACAACTCACTCTGTACCAGCCAAACAGGCTCTTGACAAGCCTACCCGTTACCTGCCAGAGCCTCATCCCGATACCTCTGCCCCTCCGTATCATCATGCTTCTCAAACATAATCTCTACAACTTTCTGATTCGGATACCTCTGACTCCTTACCACCGCAAGAGTCCCCCCCCACCAATCTGCCCACACTGGACGTCACTCCTCCCTCACCATCAGAGGACTTCTCATCCTACTCACAGCTACTACTGCGTATAGCCAAAGCCATGGACCTGGAGGTCCAACAACCAACCCAGTCTGAATCTGATCAGGTGTATGAGGACATTAATGAAGACCGGACACCACCGCTCTGTATGGGCTTTATTCCATCCTTGTTGAAGCTAATCAAGCAGTCATGGGCCAAACAATCCTCCGTAGCACAAATGTCTCAGAGGGTGGAAAACTTATACTAGAGTGGTCTTTTAGATCAGATGGGCAGGGTATAAATCAAATGAATGAATGAATGAATGAATAGATAGATAGATAGATAGATAGATAGATAGATAGATAGATAGATAGATAGATAGATAGATAGATAGATAGATAGATAGATAGATACATACATACATACATACATACATACATACATACATACATACATACATACATACATACATACATACATACATACTAAACACGTGGAGATAACACTCTCTTCTTTCCAAAACATCCACCCTCAAATTCTGTCATTGGGGATGCTACACAAAACAGAGCATGAAATTGCTCTAATGCTACTCCTAACAACAAAGAGGCCAGAAAGCTAGATATTATTGGCCATTATTGGACGCAGAGGTTATTCTCTTGCCTCCTTTATTTTCCATTTACCTTGCAGCTGTGGGAGCCTATAATCGCTACCTTTGGAATAGGGCTCTTCCAATTCTCCAGTCAGCGACAGATTAGTATAAAGCCCTTGTCCTCGCTTTTCACCAGGAAGTTATGGCCCTGGTGTGCCAAGAGTGGATCACCGCACGACATGTCATTGAAGCCTCATCCAAACACATGGCTACTGCCGTAGCCCTTGTAGACACACTTGGCTTCACTCAGTCCACATTTCCAGTGATGCCTGCATGCAAATCGAAGACTTACCTTTTGAGGGCGCTGGGCTTTTCAACAACAAAACTAATGAAATATTAGACAACCTACAAAAATTGAGAAAAACACCATGTTCTTATAATACACAACCATACTACATACCTCAATGATACCAATGGCGTCTCTCCTACTCTACCAACAAAACAGACAATTTTTCAACAAAAACAGATACTTACCACAGTTGTCATCATCATTTGAGCCCAGACACGCCACACAAGATCATTGCCCCAAACAATATTTCCGGCGTCCTAAAAAGAAAACAGAGCCTTTTACTTTCCTGTCACTCAGATCTGTCCACCCCATCTCTCTCCACCCAGCACCACCCGTCTTTCAGTCCGTCTTCCATCTTGGGCATCTATCACCACTGATTCTTGGGTCCTTACTATCATCGCCACCTCACCACCACCAAGAACTGTTCTAACATCACCATCGGAGGTTCTAGAACAAGAGATTCAATCCCTTCTTCTGAAGGACGCCATATCGCCTGTCAACTTATCAGAAGACGATCCTGGGGTCTTTTCCCATTACTTCACCATCCTGAAATGTGATGCAGGTTTATGTCCCATTCTCGACCTCCAAATTCTGAACTATTACATCATTCAAAAACATTTTCGTATGATGACATTAGAATGGATCCTACCCATTCTTCAGGAAAATGACTCGTTTGCCGTCATCGACTTAAGCAATGCCTATTTTCACATTACCATCTGCCAAGACCACTGCAAATTCCTCCGATTCGCCGTAGAAACCACTGCCTATTACTTCAAGGCCCTTCCATTCAGTCTCTCCACTGCTCCATGGGTATTTACCAAATGCATGGCTCCAGTAGCAGCTCATCTATGCACTCAGGGAATCTCCATCATTACATAGACGACTGGTTGCTAGTCTCCCCCCTCACACTCTCAGGCTTTAAGAGACATACACCTGACTTCTTATCTCCTTGCGGATCTGGGCCTTGAAGTCAACAAAGAAAAATCTATACTAATCCCTGCACAAAGAGTCACCTACATAGGTGCAGTTCTCAACTCTCAAAAAGCAAGTGTTTTCCTTCCTCAAGAGAGAGCAACAAAACTTCATGTTCACTTTTTCTGCCTTTTGCGATGGTCACTGCACATCAGACTCAATGTCTTCTTGGCCTCATGGCCTCCACTACATCAGTCATTCAGCATGCCAGACTAAAAATGCAATCCCTACAGGCGTGGTATCTGTCCCTCTTCGATCCAATGTCAGACCCATCTTCCAAATTCCTGCAGGTTACACCTGAACTCTCAGCCCAACTTCTCTGGTGGGATACTCCAGCCAACCTATTCATCGGAAGGCCCTTCACACCCAAACCAAGTCACTACCGATGCCAGACCCATCGGATGGGGAGCACATTGCAATGGCTTACACTTCGATGCTACCTGGTCTCAAACCAAACAAGACCTTCATATCAGCAACTTGAAACTACTAGCTATTTTCAAAGTTTTTCGTACTTTCGAACCTATCATCATCGGCACAGCTGTGCAAGTAACCACAGACAATACCACAGTGCTTTTCTACATAAACAAGCAAGGAGGTACTCACTCTCTCCAGTTGCTGTTCCTTACCGTTCAACTCTGGGAGTGGTACTTTGAATGTCACATTTTTCCTATAGCAGTGCACATCGTTACTCAAGACAATCACATAACAGATTCTCTAAGCAGGAGTTGGACCCAAATGCACGGGTGGACTCTCGACCAGGCTGTATTTCTGTGCCTTTGTAGACTGTGGGGATGGCCTCGCATAGACATATTTGCCACGTCCCCAAACTCAAAATGTGCTCTCTATTGCTACAGAAGAGGCATAAGCCCAGGCTCTCTCAGGGATGCACTCATGATCAATTCGACTGCAAATCTAATCTATCTTTTCCCACCTATTCCTCTTCTCCTTAGGATGATAGTCAAACTCCGTCAAAGCTGCTCCAACTCTATTCTCATTGCCCCATGGTGGCCCAGGCAGCCGTGGTTCACCATGCTCTGATCCATCTCCTGCCCCCCATTCCTCACCTCCTCACTCAACATCAGGACAGAACTTACCACCCTGACCTTCACACTCTCCACCTCACAATGTGGAGGATTCACCCTTGGGGACCACTATTTTAGCTAACACCTAAAAGCCTGCTAGAACACAACTTTATTCTTATAAATGGGCTGCTTTCCAGGAATTTGCAATTCAATGCGACCTCCTGACCAATCCAACAACTCTTCACACAGTCCTTACATTCCTTTCTTAGCTTTTTAATAACCAGCTTTACCTTTCCGCCCTCAAGGTTTACATTTCCACCATAGTCGCAGATCAACCTCAAGACTCAGATGCAGCCCTACTTTTTTGTCACCCTATATTGAAACAAGTTTCTCAGGGGTATCTCCAATATACGACCTCCTGCACCTCCTCCACCTCCGCAAAGGTCCCTGCATACCATCCTCCAATGTCTCACACTTTCTCCATTTGAACCACTTACTACCACATCTGAATGCTTCCTCTCCTTTAAGACTCTTTTTCTAATTGCTGTTACTTCAGCCCGTAGAGCTCAGAACCGGCTGCTCTTCGGGTAGACCCTCCATTCTTCCAATTCCACCCGGAGAAGGTTACTCTCCTTTCTCCCAAAATTGTATCAGACTTGTACCTCAAATAACCTATTGTTTTACCTACCTTCTTTCCATCACCGACAACTGATCTTGCATGTTCTTTCCATATGTTGGATGTCAGATGATCCTTTGCATTTTATGTCTCATGAACTTCCTCCTTCTGCAAGTCAAAATGGCTCTTTGTCACGCCACACCTGCCTCATAGACCATCTGTCACTGGATTGTCATAACTATAAAGTTGCCATACCAACTTGCTAAAAAAGCCTCTGCCTGTTGGCATTAAGACTCACTCCACAAGGGCTCTTGCTACCTGCACAGCCTTTTTCCGAGGAGTACCTCTCCCAGACATCTGTAAGGCTGCTACTTGGGCAACCCCTTCTATGTTTGCCACTCATTACCGCCTGGATGTCAGGGCTAAGATGGATGCAGCATTTGGCAGGACTGTGCTCTCTTCCGTTCTTCCGTGGCATCTCTCCTTCGGTAAGTTAGCCTGTTAATCACCCTATAGTGTGTATTCACAGAGGCCATGAAGGAGAAAGAGAGGTAATTTACCTGTAACTCTGGTTCTTCAAGTGGTCATCTGTGAATTCACACTTCCTACCTGTCCTCCCCTCTGTCCATCACATTTGTCTCACCTTTGATGCAGTGGCGGGCTGTTCTTAGGAACTGAAGCAATTGGCAGGTTGGGTGGACCACGTGTACTAGGGGGGTGATCCTGGCAAACATGTGATAAAGCTCTAAATATTCTGGAAACCTCTGCGCAAGCACAGATTTAACCCTATAATGTGAATTCACAGATGACCACTTGAAGAACCAGAGTTACAGGTAAGTAACCTATCTTTCTTATTGTTTTTAAAAGTACCTACCTGAATTGCCTTTTTGCCATCCCTCCATTGCTTTTTAGAGTATGGCTTTTTAAAAGGATGTGATAGGAATTTAACATAAACTTAATCTGTTCTGCATGGGCATCAGATTGAGATGAATTGGTATATTGCATTTCATCAACTATATCTCTAAGACTGAGCAATCCCTTAACTGGCAGGCCTTAAATACATTTGCTAGTTTCCTCAGTATTAGGAGATCCTTATACATAAAAGTACTTTAAACTGAAAAATATGTCTCTCTTAATTATGAGCCATTTTCCTTCTTAAACTTTCAGTCTGTGGTATCCCACATCTGCTCATCAAAACTGATTTCTCAAAGCAGAGGTGCTCATTTGCCGTATTCAAAACCTTTCCGTGGAATTGCCCTCTTTTCTCTTGTCTCACTTTTAAGTATTTCTTTGGTAGAAAATGTTCTCGCTTACTTATATGAAATGCCATATACATTTATGGGACTATATATTTTATAATGGTGTTGCCAAAAAAAAGTTCTTTTCCAGGCTGGTGGTAATAGTTAATAAAAGTGAGTGTAGTTATAAATACAGGCTGAAAAGAGGAAGCAAGAAAGAGTAGTGAAAAAGAAGAGGCTATTTTTCACTCATCACTGCAGGACAAAGAACAGGGAAAAAGCATAAGGAGGTGATATATATAAACTCTTCCCCAAGGCTTGCTAGTTTTAGGAGATGAAGCTCACAGGAAATAAAGAATCAGAAATACTGTACTGGCATAAGTTCTAGCCAATCAGTGCTACATAAAGCTGACTTCTGTTGCAAACAGAACTGATTTTCTTGAAGATTACCTATCTGAACAAAATACAGGGTGATTTAAAATACATGGTGACTTCTATTATTTTTGCTCTTTTCTTTTTACTATAGCATGTGAATCAATAGCGGATACAGTATTCCGAACTGTCAAGACCTTAGGCTGCCGTCCCTTCATGAATAGCCAAAGAAGTGCCTGCATTTGTAATGAGGAAGAACGAGATGAATTGTGAGGGAAGCAGCAAGCTGCCTGATAGTGTCGACTCTGGCTTCGTGAGTCTCTTCATCAGAAGAGACTCCGTTTTCTTCCACCCTTGATATGGGTGCGATTTTACACTTTTGATAACGGCATGGGTAGGGAAGCAGCACATTGCAATGCAGGTGCATTAATTGTAAGTTTGTAAGGTGAGACTGATTGAGAAATTAATGCAAAGCAGGAGGTTGCCTTGGCCTGACACTCCTGCCTGTTCCATCTGTTGACGTCTCCCAGCTTCTCAGAGCATCTGCTTGACTTAATGCCAGCCCTCAGTGAAGATTGAATGAGATGTGTACAAACATTCCAGACATGACAAAGGATGCAGAGACTGTGGGATGACACTGACAATAATACATCTCTGCAGCAAATATGTGCACCACATGGAGCTACTTCTTTCACCTGTCGCTGCCTTCTGCCATAGCTTTTCAAATGGTGTGAACCCCACACAACTGGGAAAACAGTCTTGGAGAACAGATTGCTGAAGAGGTTGTGGGAATTTAGCTTTAGGACGAAGGAATCAGATGAATGCAATGGCAAGAGGGCATTCTTTACTGGTTTCACAATAGTCATTAATTTTATTTTCCTGAAGTAACTACTCTACTTGAAGAAACAACATACATACCCCGTTTTATAACAAGAAAAGAAAGGAGCAAACCTTCCAAACAGAGGCAGTTGTAAATCTTTTATTTCATTGCATATGTAGTTTAAGATAACATCAGAAATTGCCAATAACTTCTGGCTACTTATAATTACTATTATTTTACAACTCCATGTGGTAAACCTAAATATATTTGTATAATAATTCTTGTTATTCCAAATATATCTCTTAGATGTTCCAGATCATAGCCTCTGCTCACATGTTTTTTTTTATCAAATTGCCACTTATTCTAAATGGAAGTCTCACTGACATTTTGCCTGTTACTCTGTGATTAAAAACAGCACCGAAATTCCTTTTCTAAACCGATCTTGCAGTAACTATACCCCATTCTCTGGCTCTGGATTCTCTGAAATTCTCACAGCTGTTCTTGCATGACAGTAACAGTGTTTGCATTATCCAACAGTGTACCTGCCTCGCATCATTGACCCTGTTCCATCATTTCATCATTAAATTATATGTCCCTCCTGTTTCCTATCATAAGGTATCCTGAGATCATGGTGTCACCCCTGAAGAGTGTAGGTTGGTAGGCTCATAGCTTTCTGACATTCTCATTTTACGCCTCTCATGGAGTAGTATAGGACAACAGGACACGAGTAATTTATTCAATGCAATGCAAAAAGTAAATATTCTCTAAATCAGGAATCCAATGATAGAATGAAAGGGACACCAGAAAAAAATATGAGCCCTCTCCAATGGGCTTTCTACCAACATTCACTGGTAAGTCAAAATATGTGCAGTTTTCACCACTGTAAGCACTAGCTACCGTTTCCAAAATATGTGTTTTTTACAATTGCACACAGTGTATTTCTTGATTCAGTTTTGAGACATAGCACGGGCAAGGTTTTAGGGTGCTATCTCCTTCTCAAGAAGTCCACAGAAAGGAGAGAAAGGGACACAAAAGAGACAAGGTAATTTAATGAGAAATAGCATAAATTATAGGTTCTTCATGTAGATTCCCAGATCAGTGAAATCTACATGATTTACAGAAGAGGGAGAGGTGGGTGAAGCTCACCCCTCCCTCTAGAAGGAATGCAGGAACTCAGACTAATCCTTCCACTGTCAGTGGATACACAGCCTTCTTTTCCAGGCAGGGCTAGGTCAGCTCCAATAATATTTGGATTCCTTGACAGAAGGTGTTACCCATTTTGATCCTGTGAATCATGTGACCCATTAAGGTCACTACAGTGATCAAATAGCATTTAGATGCAGAACTGCATGTGTTTTGATCTTTAAAAAAGGAGGTTATCAGCTTTATGTGAGGAGAAGAAAATGGTGAGGAAAAGGAAAAAAAGGCAAACTCTTGACTGCTAGAGGGGCACCATGTTCATAAAGCAGAGCTACTCCTCCACGTCAATTCTAATTGGGCCACCTATCAGGATACGATTAGTTATGTGGCCAGTGTTCTCTTCCTCTCTCTCAGCCCACCTGCGCATCCGTCTGTGGCAGCCCTGGGCGCATCGCGATCTCTCATCTGTGACTCCACACACAAGGACACGGCAGTGTAGGAAGACCTCCTGAATATGAAAAGATACATAAGTATGACAGTGGTCTGGCCAGCTCTTTCATACACCTCAACTCTGGGGATCTAACAATAAATGCTGAGATTAAAGGGAACAATTGTGACTGATGTGGGCGGAAGCATATCAGAGACAGTCCTACCATGAAGCACAGCAAAGTAGCTAATACAGGGGGCAAGAGCTGGTTCTGAGGAGGACATTATGCCATTGCCAGTGTCCAAAGAGGATTAAACTGCCAGTCTGATCAGCTTCTATACATGGAATGGGAGGGGTGTGTGTCAATCCTGGTTTTGCTTTGGGCATAGGCACAGAAGCAAGACACTCTTTCATCATCATTTGCCTCTCAACCACAAGGAATCCATAGGCTCTTGGCAGGCATTAGGGAGACATTGGCACCAGTGAATTATGTGCTGGATATTGAAACTGAGAGAAGCAACTTCATGCAGTTGGAATGTGCCGTCGTTGCTCTGAGGTTTGTTCTGCATCTGCTTTGACTGCAGTTCTTGCTATGGCATTAACATTCCTTGGGTACTTTTATTGTCTTCTTCAGAGAAAAGTCAGCCTGAAAATACACACACACACACACACACCCTCAAAGTGGCTTAAATATCAAGTTGTGTGTAATATTCAGTGGCGAATCTACTGCATTCCTGAACAAGACTAGCAAGTCATAGGCTAGTAAAAACTAGTTCCTCTCTCTCTCTCCCCAGAGTTAAAATGGATTTTCTTGTCATTCCTCCTTCCTAGGAAATCCTGGGTACTGGTATAGTATAAACCCAAGGATGCACTATAGATGTTTGCTCAATATGAAGCCCAATATGCTCAACAGTCTCTCAATGGCTACAACAGGTGACTTGCACATGTGAAACACCCATTCATGAGATAAGGACTCCACAAACAAAGCTTCAGAATCAACTGACACAGCATAATGGTACAAAATGGTACAATGGGCCAGTTCACCTAATCCTTTATGGAAATCTGAGGTATGATTACAGCTGGATATGCGCCACTGTACTACTCAGTATTCAAACAGTGCATCTTGCCATTTAAAGGCTAGCCCAGGATCAAGATATGTGATGGGCCAAGGAAAAGGACACAGAATCACAGGTCAGGGCCTTTTCTGTTGTGGCACCTCATCTCTGAAATCTCTTTCCCAGAGATGCCTGGCTCATAGCATCTTTGTTTCCTTTTAAGTGCCAAGTGAAACACCCTTTTAATCCATGTTTTATTGAATATGTCATGAGGTTTCATGCTCCTATTTTATCACACTTTATTCTCCTGTTGAGTCTTGGTTTGTTATTTTTGGGATTTTAAAAAATGAATTTGATTATTCATAGTTTCAAAGTATGGTTTTATCATTTTATTGGAAGCCACTCCATTGTTGAAGATTACCCTATAATTTTTTTAAACTAATTAGTTGAACAAAATAAAGCAGAAGAGTCAAAAGAGAAGAGAAGCAAAATGCTACAGAGCATGAGAGTAAATGACTGAGAAAGGAAAGGTAAAGGACATGTTAGAATATAGAAATACTGTAGAGTATTGCATCATTTAGTTCTACATGTATACCCGAGACATGCAAGGTCAGAGAAGGCGGGGAGGAACAGATAGTGGGAATAGGAGAAAAAGAAGGAGAGGGAGGGAGACTTTAGGAGGCGACTCCCAGAATTTCATGGTGCTGTTTTGCACACTCTTGCCCAAAGATATTTCTTGAACTCTTTTTTGGTTTGTTGTTTTTGGTCATGCCCACCAGAGCTGTGAGATGTCACTTTTCTGGAGTACAACTAGCTGGACACTTTAACCCAAAAAGTAGCATTTCCAAGTTCTGGACCCACCCCCAACAAAAGCAAGGGGTGGGTAGAAAGACAGGGCGATACATATCTGATTTTCATCTCCTGAGAAGATGATAAAAGATGAAAGGGCCACATTCCCATACATGTCGGGCATAATTATAACAACCTGTGCTTTTTGGGTAGATTGTAAGGAGAGACAAGCCACCCTAGCTAGTCTGCATTTTTGCTCACCTTGTTGTCTTTACCCACAAATTTGAACACTGGAACCTGGAAGTGCTTGGCAAGATGATCCTTTGACGTGTATTGCTTCACAGATTCATCTGAAAGACAGCTGGAAAAAGAGAGAATGAGAAATGTTAATGGTTTTCACAGGCAGTGGAAAAAAACAAATGTATCCCAATGAGAACAGGAGATGGAGGTTGGCTATTAATATCTTTGACTGTGGTGGCATGCTATCCACCAGCAAAGAGGGAAAAACAGGGGAGAACAGTAGCATTGCCAGAAATTTTGAAAAGCTCAAAGCAGCCAAGAAAGACATTTGTTGGAATGCACTCACTTCATCTCTCTTCGCATACCCACAACCACTCCTTCTGCTAGCCAGGGGATTTGCTAACATATTGCAAAGCTTATCCTCGCTTGACCTAAAAGGGGGATCAAATGGGCATTCAGCCTACTGTTTGGACCACCGCTGGGATGGGTTGGTTCAATCCTTTTTTTGTTTTTCCCTTTTTTTCTTTTTTTCTTTTTGCAAACACAAAAATACTGGCGCTTGTCCCTGGAGCATTCCTACCCACATCTTTCTGGGTCACTATCAGGGGCATCTACTTTTTTGGTGGGGGTGCAATCACTCCATTTTAATTTTTTTCCAGATGTTACAATGGCTGGAAATGAACCAAAATGTGCTTTCAGCTGTCAAGGTGGCCAAAGCTTCTTGTGCTATCAATTTGCTCCATTGTGAAGTAGTTTAAAGAGAGCCACTTCAGGATATTGGCAAATTAAACACTTTCTCTGCTTTTCTGTGGAAGGGCACAGGCAGTTAAAAATGTTTAAACTCTATTAGGGCTTCACAGATGTGCTGCATAACTTTTTTTAAAAAAGTGAAAACTTCCTCCTGGAAGAAACAGGTGGAGGCAGCAAAGGCATTTTTTCTTTTCTTTCAGATGTTTTAAAAGTCTGGTAGAGAACATACCCGCAGTCAAATCCACCACCAGTTGGCACTCAGTGACAGATCCAGCTGTGGGCAGGTTACTGACTTGTCCTTTAAGAGAAGTCAAAGAAAACGGGGAAGTTACTCCCTCTTATCTCCTCCCACTTACAGGACAAAGTTTCTATTTTTTTTCCATAGGCAAAGTTTCTATTTTTCCCCCCATAAGTGATGCTGCACACAATCGATTAATACAATCTAATTCCCCCCTATTTCCTCTGCCCCTCCATTACTGTTTAGGTGACTGAAATAAAGCCTTGCCCCCAAAGGCAGAAAAATCCCATCCATTATTTTATTTCTTTTCTCTTCTCCATTCCTGTTTTGAATTTGAAGAGAAGGAAAAATCTACATGAATTAAAAAACAACAACCTAATTTCCTACCTACCTCACAAAAGTCCTTCTCTTATCTTCCCTTTCCCCCTTTCCTTATAATCCCCTCTTCTTAAATGCCCTCCTTTTTAATTGCTGATTCTCATGTGGATCTCACCAATAGTCTTAAGGAGGGAAAGTTCAGTTTCTTGGGACAGGTAAGGAGCCTTTAACTTGATTTATAACACAGGACACAAGAGGTTTACTATTTTGATGCAAAGAAGACCACTATCCACCTCCAAAACATTCTTCTTAAACTCTTTTAACCTTGTACCACATGTGTAATTAAATGAAGGCTAACAGATCTGTATTCATTTATTTAAAGTTTGTCACTCTGCCCATGCACCAGGGCACCATCTTCAATGAGGGTTATTTATGGGGAAACTATTCATAGGATTGAAGTTGCTTAATAGTGCAAACCAAAAGGGAGTGAATCCAAAGGGAGAATCCACAATTAGCTCAGACACAGTTCTTGGGAGCCTCATCTCCCCAACATGGGCTACACACATCAACTCACACAACCCTGATCCAGTGACAAATTCTGAGTCCTTCATTTCACTCACAGAAAAGATTCCCTTGCGTTCCAAAGCCAGGAGCAAGGATGAAGCACAGGTAACTTTCTTCTCCCCTCCCCCCATCACTCACTGCTTAGGATCCTAACTGAACGTATTTCTATTACAGTACTTCTTATTGCTGTTCCACTCCTAAAGAAATAGACATTATCCCATTTCAAGGTAAGATCCATTAAATTCCATGAAGAAGTCATGGTTTTACATGTTGCAAAACCACCACCAAAAGACATAATTAGAGAGCATGGTAGGTTGTTTCACAATATTTTTCAGCAGCATGGAAAGTTGTGGGACACCGGCAGACATGTTTTATTATGTGACCAATCTGGGCAAAAAATGGTTGCGTTACTTTATTGCAACCAGATGTTCACATTTATATTTCCGTTTTCCGCTACACGTCAAAGGGAGAGGAGGGGGTGTATTGATCAGTTTGGAAGCAAAATATGAGAAGATGCAACACAAAACATGATAATAAGGAAAAGATTATAAAGAAATTTAGCAGAATATAAGAGGGTAAAGAACACTATCCAAATTTTCCCCATATTGTTTTGGAGCAAAATTCCCAAGACATCAGAGAAAGTCGCTCCTTCCCCACCAACCCTTATCATTTTTAAAAGCATAGAATCATGATACACACATAACTTTTTATGACAATATTGACTTTTCTGTGAACCCTTGCAGTTTCACTTTAGGCTATAAATGCTAAAGATGGAGGGATGTGAAGATTTCTTCAAAGAGTTAAAGATGTTTGGGAACTCTGAGAATGCTGCTTCATGGATACAGACTCACTACTTCATGTTGTCCCAGTAAAATAGGCTCTGTAGAGAGGAACTTAAGAAGAACTGTACTGGAGGAGACCCAAAGACTCACAATTCTGTTCCTACAGAAGCCAGCCAGATGCCCCAGTGGAAGCTCACAAGCAGAACAGGAGATAAACATTACTTTTTAAATTCATTGTTGCCCAGAAACTGGTATTGAGAACACACTGCTTTTGATACTGGAGGTTTTCTGTAACCATCATGACTAATAGCTATTAATAGATTATTGTCATGTCATTGTTGTTCAGTCGTTAAGGCGTGTCTGACTCTTCGTGACCCCATGGACCAGAGCATACCAGGCCCTCCTGTCTTCCACTGGCTCCTGCAGTTTGGTTAAGATGTCATCGCTTTCCTCCCAAGAAGCAGGCGTCTTTTAATTTCATGGCTGCTGTCACCATCTGCAGTGATCATGGAGCCCAAGAAAGTGAAATCTGTCACTGCCTCCATATTCTTCTGTTTTCCAGGAGGTGATGGGACCAGTGGCCATGATCTTTGTTTTTTTTAATGTTGAGCTTCAGACCATTTTTTGCGCTCTCCTCTTTCACCCTTATTAAGAGGTTCTTTAATTCCTCCGCACTTTCTGCCATCAGAATGGTATCATCTGCATATCTGAGGTTGTTGATATTTCTTCCGGCAATCTTAATTCATCCAGTCCAGCCTTTCACATGATGAATTCTGCATATAAGTTAAATATGCAGGGAGACAAGATACGGTCTTGTCATACTCCTTTCCCAATTTTGAAACAATCAGTTGTTCCATTTCCAGTTCTAACTGTTGTTTCCTGTCCCACATATAGATTTCTCAGGAGATAGATAAGGTGGTCAGGCACTCCCATTTCTTTAAGAACTTACCATAGATTGCTGTGGTCCACACAGTCAAAGGCTTTTACATAGTCAATGAAGCAGAACTAGATGTTTTTCTGGAACTCTGTGGCTTTCTGCATGATCCAGCACATGTAAGCAATTTGGTCTCAAGTTCTTCTGCCCCTTTGAAATCCAGCTTGTACTTCTGGGAGTTCTCGGTCCACATACTGCTGAAGCCTACCTTGGAGGATTTTGAGCATAACCTTGCTAGTGTGTGAAATGAGTGCAACTGTATGGTA